AGATCCCACTCTCTGGTCTTCTCTCCCGTTCCCTGGTCAGGGATAGCACTAACATTGAGTATTTCCAAGCTGGGACATGAGAGAAGGCCTCCCATCCTGCCCCCAACATGTGCCAGACTCTTACCTGGGATGTGCTAGGATGGCCATTCTAAGTGGGACCAATTGTAACACTCACAATCTGGTTTGGAATTTAGAGTCTGGCTGGTTCCATAGAAGCCCGAAATAATGCTCTTCCCTCTTGCCTGCTTACTTTGCTCATTTCCTTCTTTGCCTCCCTTACTTTGGACCCAGGAACAGTATGTACCGTGCAGGTCAGTGCCTCACACATAGGATGTGCTCTGTTAAAGTCATTAAAATAGTCATTTATTTATCTGAGCCTTCACAGAGGATTAGTTATGGGATAATGGGATTACATAAAACAAAACAAAAGCATACTTCATGTGTCCAAGGGACATATATCCAGTTAGTATATTATACTATTACGACAAATTAGTACTCACAAAGTGAAGATATAGTACTAACTTCTTTTTTGGGGAAAAAACATACAGTACCAGCCTATTCCCAATTACTATGTAAGGATGTGAAAGTTGGACAATGAAGAGGCTGATAGGAAAAAAATGGATTCATATGAAATATGGTGTTGGAGGAGAGCTCTATGGATACCCTGGACCGCTAGACAGAAGAACTAGTAGGTCCTGGAGCTAAACTGACAAAACTGAAGCTGTCCTACTTCAGACACATAAGAAGGTAGGGTTCTTTGGAAAAGACAATAATCCTGGGGAAACAGAAGGCAGTAGGAAAAGGGAAGACCAAATATGAGATGGATTGACTCCATCGAAGAAGCGATAGGCCTGAGGCTACAGGAGCTGAGCAGGGCTGTTGAGGACAGGACATTGGGCATGTCACTCATTCACAGGGTTGCCTGGAGTCAGAGCGGTATGTTTGGTGAGCTAGTGGGCCATGCCCAGGAGTCTGTTCAATCTGAGTCCTGGGCTTTCCCCTATTCTGTTCCTTCTGCCTGGTTGCTTGCCCCTCACCCCCAACCCCTCCCTGTGCTATTTCTAATTCCATCACATCTTTCAGAACTCACTTTCAAGATTATTCTCTCTGGGAAGCATTCCTGAATCCTATAGGCTCAGCTTGTATACTCCAATAGCAACCTTTCTCTCAGCATTTATGATACTGTAATGTGCATGTTTTGTCTGTTTCTCTCTCTAATCTGTTAGCACCACAACTGTCTTGTCAAAATTTATTTCTGTATTGCCTAGCACAGTGCCTGATATATATAGTGGACACTCAGCAAATATTTACTGCATATTCATTGAGTCAATAATAAGTAGGTAAAGAACTCTTTTTCAGAGCCTAGAATAATTTCAGAATCAGAATACATCAGAGTAAATTTCAGAGTTATGATCTAGCCTTTGGCTAAAGTGACTCTCTTACCTTTACTGATTTCTGTTCCATTTAACAGATGTATTAACAGGGATATAGATTTGGCTGCATGTAACAGAGAGAGCCCATTTCACTACAATGTAAACAAGAAGGAATTCTATTTCTCTCTCTCATGAAATGGTCCAGAGACAGGCAGTCCAAGGCTGGTATATGGCCGCTTTGTTCTGTGAGATGATGGCCATGGCCAGGCTCTGTCTATCTTGCTGCTCCACCATCCAAGGACGATATCCTTGTCCACATGGTTAACTGTCATGCAAAAATCCTAGCAGGTCTAATTTTGTTTGGAAATCTTTGGAACCTACACCCAAAGCGAATTTAATTTCTTTTTGGTACCTGGAACTGATTCTAGGCCTTTTGGACCTCCTTAGGGCATCTTGAGTCTGCTATAAATTTATAGAACTAATCACATTGAGGGGTTTTCCGCTGATTTCCCAATCCCCACTTTACCCCTAAGCCTTTTCGGGTGGGGAAGACTAAAAACTTAGCCCGAGTTGGGTACGTATGCCAAGAATACCAGCTGGTCCTCGTGCTAAGCTCGTGCAGCCTTCATTTCAACCAAGGGTGGTGTGGTTTCCTCAGGCACGGGGCACATGAACGTCACAGCAGGACATCCTGGCAAGTTATAGGAGAGAAATTCCTTTGAATAATGTTAAACACATTACCTATTTGGCTATAAGAAAAAATATACTACTTATTTTGTTATAAGGTGGCCACATAACTTATGATTGCACCATCATTTCTTTACAGCACTTTTCTGTTGGGTTTATGATATTCTGGAGAGAAATCATTAGATTTTATGATTAAGGTTTGAGATGAAGGCCACCCAACTCCATCAATTCTCCCCTCCCACAATGTCCTGTCCTCAACAGCCCTGCTCAGCTCCTGTAGCCTCAGGCCTATGGCTTCTTCGATGGAGTCAATCCATCTCACAATTTTAAAAAATATATCTCCCTCCCTCCCTCCCTCCCCTTGGAGGGGAAGGGCAGAAAAGCCAGGGTGGAAGTGAGATCTCTGTGTAGCTTTCCAGAGCAACAGCTATTTGCCTAACTAGAAGAAGCTGAATAAACCAAGGTCATGACACATCCCTTCTCCAGCCCCAAACTAAACACGTTTTCATTCTACAGACCTCACTTTACTTCTTAGACAAAACAGGATCAGTATGAATTCGTCTGACTTGATTCTGCCAGTTGAACAAGAAAATCAGAAGAACCAAAGATCTGTCTAATATTGTTCCTGGCAAAGGCATTATATGAGATATTTTCTGATTTTTAAGAAGACATGATATACAACCAACAATCAACTCTCTAAAGTGGTAAAGTTCACTCTTCTTTCTGTTTTGCTTGTCCCTGTGTGAATAGTTACCAATATTTGTAGCGTTTTGGTTAATTATTGTTATAGTTATATTTCCATTATATATGTTTTTCTTTTCTCTCCACCTTCTCAAAACTTCTCCTTTAAGGCAGAAACTTTCCATTCATGGTTTCATCCAAAAGACAAATATTTCTGGGAAAACACTGCATTTAAGCTATTCAGCAATTCTGGTGTTATGTAACTGACCACACTAAGGCTTTCAATTAACTTTGGCTACATTTTATTGAAGATTGTCATCGAATAGAATAAGTAGCCATAATATAAAAAAAAACCCTTTTTTATGCTTTTAAACAGGGGACGTCCTCTTGAAGTATGTATAATTTCTTGTGATAGCAACACAAGGTAAATCTCATCCTTTTCAGTATTCTAAAGTCCACTGACTATATCCCAAGACTGATTTTAGCATTGGAGAACTTTTAATTGCATGAGCTTTCCTTTCTGAGTTCATTTCCACAACTCAAGCCCTCTGTGTTCTTCTCTTCCTCATGCTCTTCTCTCTCCTTAATTTTGTTTGGTCTTCTTCATCTGTGGGTGCCTAGAGACTCTGTTTCTCTTCCCCTGAGAAGGGATCATATGATTTATGGTTTCAAACAACTTCCTTATATACATACCAACTTGCAACTAATGTTCTTCATTTCTAGTCTTTATCTTTCCTTCTGATCACTCTTCAATATCTCTGTTTTCTTTCTCCTCAGAACTGAACTTGTAATGTTTTTTTCCCCAAAGCAGAGAATCCCCCTCCCCGCTTTTTCTTTATTTTCATGTCTCCACTTCAATCCCAGTGTCCCAGCCTTAAAACCTTGTAGGTTTTTTTCTTTCCCCTCCTATTTACTTGCAATATGCTGCCTATCATCAGGTTGCAACATCAATTTTTCAAAAAAAAATCACTGAGATTCATTTCTTTATTTCAAATCTCTTTCCCCTCCTGTTTACTTGCAATATACTGCCTATCATCAGGTTGTAACATCAATTTTTTTTAAAAAAAATCACTGAGATTCATTTCTTTATTTCAAATCTTGTCTCAACCTAGGTGTTAAATATTTGGCATGTCCACTACTCCAACAGCTTCCTGTCAGTTCACTCTACCTCCATGCTTTCTTCCCTCTAAGCCAACCTATGGGAAATTATTAGAATCATCTTATTCACACTCTGCTTTATCATTTCAATGTCCTCTTCAGAAAAATTCAAGAATCTCCACCAACCAACTACTTTATCCAAACCTCATTTCCTTGGAGTGTATGAGCCACTTCTCCAACCAAATATCATCTTTGGACCTGCCATCCTCTCCCCTGGAAGACCTCTCTCTCTTCCTCCCAGTCCATATTTCTTTTTCTTTAAAGGCTGTAGCTGACACAGCCTTGCTAAAGGCTGTAATTATCTGCAAGTCCTTTAAGAGTGAGTGCCTCCTGACCAATTTTCTGTGTCCTCTGGGTGACACATTGCACAGTCTGCCGGCTTTCCTAATCTGTACTCTCTGGTCTGTGGATTTGCAAAGTCCATTTTTCACTTATGTGCTTTATGTCCTTTCTCTACTTTTAGAGTATAAGCAACTTAGAGGTGGAGACAATATTGAGTGATTCATTTATATGACTCAACAACAATCACTAAGCACTTACTGAATTTATAGCATGGCATTTATCTACATATTTAGCTGTCAATCAAATAGTTGAGCATCTATTCTGTGCTAGGCACTGTGTGAGCTGCTAGAATACAGTGGTGAGAAAAAAAAACCAGACATTTCCTCTGTCTTTGCAGGGTTTGGGGGAACAGACATTTACCAAATAATCATACAATTAAATGTAAAATTACAACTGTGATAGAGCTACGAAGAGAGGAACATGGTGCCATGAGAGCACATCTTAGGGTGGGAGAAGGGAAGAGGGAGGGATGTCCCCAAAGGGGAGAATCACATGTGTAAAGGCTCTGTGATGGGGGGAGCCGGATATGTTCAAGGCGACGATGACGATGACTACTACTACTAGACAACACTGAGTAGTAACCATGGTGCCAGATACTGTGCTAAGGGTTTGGTGTGGATTATCTTATTTAATTCTCACTATGAGCCAAGGTGTTTGTATCCCTATTTTTTATAGGCTTAGAGATGTTAGACACCTCATCTCAGAGAGAAGTGATGCATCTAGGACTCAAAGCCACCACGTTTAGTCTCTAACTTATAGTGGTTCTAACTTATTTGGCTTTTCAGTACCATTTTAATACCATTATTATGGAAAAAGTAGGTTCCTTTAGCCCAAAACAACATATGATTTGGCTAATTGCCCAGTGCGTCCTTCTGTAATTTTGGTCAAAGTCTTCATGGCATCAGGTCCCTATCTTCCATTTTGCAGAATGTTTTATTATATATAACACAGACCTGGCCTCATGTCTGAGCTGACTGTTATATGTTTTCAATCAAGGGAACAGATTTCTAGCTGTCCTTTTTCTTTTACAGAAATCTATAATTATATGAGGAATAATACTCATTAGTCCAAGTTACACATAGTATTCCAGTAACCAACTTCCTCCTCAGGGGAGCATCATCAACAATTAAAAGTAACCACCAACTATTGGTAAAATGTTTGTCATCATGACCAGGGGAGTCCCCTGCTTTTGGCCTGCCATCTGTCAGGGCTATGTTTATGTTTCCTCCTTCTCCACTTTCTACCCAGGGCAGCCTCTTCTTTAGTTGTAATAGGTGCATCTAACATTGGCTTGTGAGTTGCTTCCTTAAATAGAACTTAATAACAGCATTGAGATTTTAATTTATACCTTAGAGTATCTCTGTGATAATTAATAAAATTACTTTGGTCCCTCAGAAAATAGAAGCAACTCCCTATTGCTTAAAGAGTGTTTAGAGGACTGTACATTTTTTTATCCTCACCTGAGGATATTTTTTATTGATTTGCGAGAAAGGAAGAAAAAAAGAAAGGAAGGAAGGAAGAAAGAAGGAAAGAAAGAAAGAAAAAACAAAACATCAATGTGAGAGAGAAATATTGATCGGTTGCCTCCCATACATGCCCCGACTGGGGATAGAAACTGTAACCTAGGTATGTGCCCTGATCAGAAATTGAACCTGTAGCCTCTTGGTGTATGGGACAACACTCCAATTAACTGAGCCACCTGGCCAGGGTGAGGACTGTTCATCTTTAACCAAACATGACTGGATCTTTGCCCTTTGCAATGCAAGGTTGAAAATTTAAGAGAAGAGTGGGTACACAGGGCAACCCCAGTCAGCATAGCTAGAAACCACTCCAGCAGGCTGCCCAGCTGATAGTGGGGAGCAGAACATGAAGTATATTGGTGAGCAACATAGCCCATAGGCCTGAAGAACAGTAGTCTGCCTTTTGACAATACCTGAATATTGTTGGGTAAAGGAGTAAAAAAGCAACATTTATTTGCTTATGTCCTCCATCAAAAGTTTTTTAGGGACATACAGATAGCTGAAGGTATAGTTTCTGAATAAAATGTTGCCAAATGGCTATTATCAATTCTATTCAAAAGTGGGAAAGGTTTTCAGACTCATCACTTTAGGTAAGGCTGCAGGCATATAGAGGCAACAGGCACTCAGCAGCCTGAAGGTGTGGAGGGGAAATCCTGACCTCTCACGTATTTAGCTTTCTTCACCTAGCTGCTTTGGCTGTTGTTGTTAGTGTTATTATTATTGATCTCTTAGGACCGTTTGCCAAACTTTTCATTGGGCATAGGACATTATAGTCCAGCAATGAGTTTGAGGACAGAACCAAGGCCTTCCCATTTCTTACCATCCCATGCTGATATTGCTGTCTTCAAGACAAGTTTTTTAGCCCCAGCTGGCTTGGCTCAGCCGATAGTGTCAGCCCGTGGACTGAAACATCCCGGGTTTGATTCTGGTCAAGGGCCCTGGTCGTGGGCTCTGTCCCCAGTAGGGGGCATGCAGGAGGCAGCTGATCAATTTTTCTCTCTCATCATTGATGTCTCTCTCCCCCTTCCTCTCTGAAGTCAATTAAAAAAAAAAAAAGACAAGTTTTTCACCCTATATATCCAAGTACAATATCCATTATTCTTACACTGCCCACTCTTTTCTGTTATGCAGTCCAAGCTATTACCCAAGCAAACATGTAAACAACCGGCAGATGCAGATTGCAAACCAAGAGCAGTAAATGAACACAGATTTACATTAAAGGGAAAGAATGGGAGGATGGGGGCGGGGGGAGGAGATACGTTTTTATTCAAGGCTTCTGACATTCCAAGTACTTTTTAGGTGCTTTATTATTAACTATGATGATGTACAGTAGATCTCTAGAATTTTTCCATCTTGCATAACTAAAACTTGATATGCATTGCAAACCAAGAACAGTAAATGAACACAGATTTACATTAAAGGGAAAGAATGGGAGGATGGGGGCGGGGGGAGGAGATACGTTTTTATTCAAGGCTTCTGACATTCCAAGTACTTTTTAGGTGCTTTATTATTAACTATGATGATGTACAGTAGATCTCTAGAATTTTTCCATCTTGCATAACTAAAACTTGATATGCATTGAACAGCAACTCATTTCCCCTCCCCTCCTTTTCCTGGCAACTACCATTCTACTTTCTGCTTCTATGAGTTTGAATGCTATAGATACCTCATATAAATGGAATTATGCAGTTCTGTCCTGTGATTGGCTCATTTAACTTAGCATAATGTCTCAAGGTTCATCTGTGTTGTCACATATGACAGGATGCCCTTGTTTTTTGAGGCTGAATAATATTCCATTGTATGTATACACCACATTTTTTTTAATGCATTCATCTATTGATGGAGATTTAGGCTATAAAATCAATATATAAAAAGCAATTGCATTTCTGTATACTAACAATGAAAATGAAATTAAGAAAATCCCATTTGCAATAGCATCAAAAATAAAATACTTAGGAGTAACTTAACCAAGGAGATCAAAGACTTGTACACTAAAAACTATAAAACCTTATTGATCTCCTTTTAATAAAACTTGACTTGTTATCTTAGGATCATGCTAGGTCATGGGTACACTAATCTGATAAATAAATTCAAACTTAGTTATAAATGACTTGTTGGTTTATCCTTCCCACATTATGACTAGGAGTATTTCACCCAAAGGTGTGTGTAAGAAGGTAACACTGACAGAGCTGCCTGCAGGTGAAATATTTAAAAATAAATATTTTAAGAATTATAAACTGCAACACTAGATTGCTCTATCTAGCATAAAACCAGCCTTTTTTCACCCTAGCCAGTTTTGCTCAGTGGATAAAGCATCAGCCCATGGACTGAAGGGTCGCAGGTTCAATTTTGGTCAAGAGCACAGGGGCATGGCAGGTACCTCTGTTGGGATCTTGTCCCTGCCCCGGTGGGAGCATGTGCGGGAGGCCACCAATCGATGTGTCTCTCTCACATTGATGTTTCTCTCTCTTTGTTTCTCCCCCTCCCTTCCACTCTCTCTAAAAATCAGTGGAAAAATATGCTCAGGAGAGGATTAACAATAACAACAAAAAACCAACAACCAGCCTTTTTCTTTTTTTATCAGCATTTGGACAAAATCACATTCTTTATCAGGTATAAATACAAGTAATTATTCTTGGGAAAACCTCTCTGAAATGATAAGTTCAGCGAGAAGACATCATTTTAGATTTCCCTACATGGCATGCATACAGAACTTCAGTGAGTCTGGGAAAATACAGTTTGGGAGGAAGTACAATAATAAGGGAATGGGACTCTTTTTGGTCACTTACCATGTGCTAGAAGGCTTGCAAACATATTTCATTTAATCCTGTTCAAACGCCATGAGGTAGATGTTGGTCCCACTTTGCAGATGAGGAAATTAACGCCCAAGGAAGTAGAGCCAAAGTTCTGCCTTCATGTGAGTGTGGATTTGAAGCTGGGTCTGCTCGAAGTCTGTCCTTTTCTCTTTCCCCACCAGGTGGCCAGCCAGGGAGAAGTTATTAGCTTCCCTGTCCAGGAAGGCTTCCTGGAAGGGGTCAGGGCAAATAAACGACTTGATATCCCCGAAGTAGAAAATCTTCAGTCATCTTCAAATTTGCAGCGACGGTGAAATTAATCCAGGGGTACATCTTGTGGTCTTTAGAGTCACTGAATAGGTTCTCCAGGGGTAGCCCGGGGGCCTGAGGATGACTTACAAAGCAGGGAGTTGGGCTTCCACATGATTTTCCTCAGGACTCTGGGGCCCTTGTCCTGGTGCTCACAGAAGGATCTGGTCTTCCTGTCTCCACAGTTACTGAGCCCTGGAGGTTCTGGTTGGGTGAGGAGACCATGGCTGAGTGACTCCAAGATGTCCCCAAGTGTCCTAATGCCCTTTGTTTTTCCTTGATGGACTGTGTCATTATTCTGCCTTCCTGGGAACATCAGAACACTTGATTCTCTAGCTTTTCAAACAGCTCGTGATATATTTATTATTAACCAGGGCCTACCTTATGCCTTACCATGGCAATTCGTGAGAGATCTTTAAAAACAAAACAAAAGGCGATTAAACTCATTTAGGGGTGAATAGTGTAAAAGACATGAGCCCTAAGGGTTTTGTAATTGGCATGGAATTCCATAATGTGCCCAAGTTTGATTCCATTATCCTCTGGTATCGTGCTGTTGATTTATTAACATGGAGTCTAAAAATGGCCATAATCTTTTGTCCTGAGAGCAGATCTTTCTGTTATGACAAAACTCCCTCTGGCATGCTCTCCATGAACGGCTTTCCCCCCGTGGCTATTATCCTGCTGTGTCCCTACAGTTCAGACAACTGGAGATGGTGACAACTCACAAAAACTCACCCACCCACTTTCCACTCACTCAGTCCCAGCAAAACCCTTTTCTGCCTTCCCTCCCACGATGGCCAGGTACTGTGGGATGACCTATGGTTTGTAATGGATGGTAGAGTCCAGAGTAATTGCCTGTGTGTAGAATGATGATGCAGACCAGGGTTCATACCCGGGCACAGGTTCTGGTACAGCCTCTGAGCAATTCCTTTTTCTTTTCTTTTCTTTTCTTTCTTTTCTTCTTTTCTTTTTCTTCTTTCTTTCTTTCTTTCTTTCTTTCTTTCTCTCTTTCTTCTTTCTTTCTTTCTTTCTCCCTCCCTCCCTCCCTCCCTCCCTTCCTTCCTTTTTTCTTTTTCTTTTGCCTTAATGAAAAAACTTTCTGCATTCTAGTATTGCTTCACTCATGGGGCCGCCCTGATTTAATCAGCATTCCATAGGTAACAGGCAGATAACACGTTTTTCCAACCCTCTCCTCCCATCCTACTTGCACTCCTCCTCCTTTATTTCTTTTAGCGAAGGGAGAAGATACATTTCTGTCCCCTAGACCGCACCAGATTCTTTTTTGGCACCGGGTGACCGCCGGGGAGAAGCGGGTCACCTGCAGAGCGGGGGCGAGCATTCCCCGCTAACTTGATCCCTGGGGCTGCAGGAGCGGAGCGTGCGCTCCCAGGCACAAACAGGAAAGCCTGACATCACGGAGTGGCGGAGTGGCGCGGGGAGGAGTCTGCGGCGCCCTCGCTGGCTGCTGGC